GCTTAAGAGTTTCTGTAATCAAGGGTTCCCCAACCTGGTGTCCTCCAGATATCCTGTACTACAACTCGCATACTTAATAAGGTCATTGACCTTGTTGGCTGGGGATGATGAGGGCACCAGATTGAGGAACACTTGTCTGAGCTATCCTACAGGCAATGTTTACCATTCAGAAGCTATTCTTCATGATAATAAACTTCACTCTCTTTTTGTTATATATGGCACAATTCTAAATGGGATTCTTTGAGTGTTTGGTAAGTTCTGGAATTTTTACAAGGGCTAGCAGACTAAATTTAGATGAAAGCTCTTTTCTGTAGCTTCAAGCTTGGTGTTGAAATATTGAGTGAAAAAAAGATAATTAGGGGATTAAATGTAATTTAAAGCATGAAAATGTAGACTATTGACTAGCAACACTAAAATATTAATGCTTGTGTGGCCTATATATTTTATGGTTTAAAGAGTGAGAGAGATTAGACAGTCACATAAATCACTGAGTTCTTTCAATATATTTTCTTTAAAAAAAACTTTTATTGAGAGCTTTTCAATCCCTGCAGCACATAAAAAGAATAAATTTCAAATAATAATGGAGCAAAGAATAGAGTGTGCAGAATCTGAAATAGCTGGATTGTAAGGAGGAAAAGGTTCATTGTTTTGGAAAAGATCATGGAAAGAAATAATGATCTGAAACGGGAGTGTCAGGTACAAAAACATTTTGAGATCACTATGGGCCTCCTTAGGCCTGCCTTGTGGTTTTGGAGAAGACTTTGCTGAACTCAAAACAGAATGATTCAGGTGCCAGATTTTGCTGGGAAGTGAACACCTGCCAGGCTACTCCAGATAACTCAGCAGCTGAAAGGCATTTTCCCAGGCTCCCAGGTGAATGGTCTTTAATAGCTGTGGGAGACAGCTTTCTGTTGTTATACGCTATACCACAGACTCTTACTGGCAATCTCACAGATGATCGAGTCATCCTGATATTACTTCAGCAAACATGTGTTGCTAGGAAGCTTTAGGGAGAAGGTTGCTCATCAGGGTGGGCAGACTTCAGAAACTGCTTTAAACAATTAGGACTTAAGAGGGCCACCAGCTAGAGCTGGTGAGATGCACATTTAGTACTGAATTTCTGGTCCAGGAATTTATTAAGTGCCAGAACTGAATGGAGTTTTGGTACAAAAACTGTTGCTGACTATTTGCCTCTATCCCTTGACTGGAATCCGAAGCATTCAGAAATCTTTTTAAAAATTATTTAATTTTATTTGAACATTGGATGATCAAACATTGGAAATTTTAAAAACCCAAGAACTACACAGATAATTTTTTAAAAAATCCTTGAGTGATCATCCAGCAATCAACCAGTAGAATTAGAACTACTTTTCTATCCATCCATCCATACTATCTTTTTCATAGTAAAACAGTACCACTTACAACCTTAATCTGAATCACATTATAATGGTTATGCCCTATTTTTAAAAAGCTCTTGTTGACTTTAAATTTTTAATAAAAAGTTGCTATTGAATGCCTATCTTTTTGAGCCTAATTTTCTTAATTTTGATAAAATACCATAGTTTAAAATGGTGAAGGAGGTTTCATAGGTGGCTGCTGCTGCTTTTGTGGTAATTCTGCATTACCAACTTTGGTCTGATAAAAGCTAATGTGGAGTAGGGGAAGTGGTTGAAGGGTTGCACTTGGATGGGGGAAATCCCAGTTCCAGTCCCTGTTTGACCATGGAGATGATTGCGGGCCAGTTACTCTGATCTTAGTCTACCTCAGAATGATGACTGCGTGGATAAAATTGTGCCACCTAAAGCACCTGGGAAAAAAATAGGATATGCATGCAGTAATAAAAATAAGAATAAATTGGCAAGTCATGGTTGCATTTCTAAAGTCTTGAGGATCTCTCAATATTAAGTTCTTTGTTGTAATTTGAACTGTTGTGGCAGGCAAGGTTGAATCAACATTATGGATTAAGCAACTCTGGTGGGACCCTTATTATTCCAGTTCCAGCACTGAAATTTTACATAGATTTTGCATATGTGTATGTATACAGTTTAAGGAAACAAATTACACTTTGTTAAGCCAAGGCTCACTTTTTCATTGGAACGATTGATGATTGAATGTAGTAGTTTATGCTGCAATAAATCAGATGTCCAAAGACACTTGATTTTATTTGCTGTTAATACAGGTAGTCCTTGTTTATCAACTGCCTCAGTTAATGATTGTTCGCAGTTACGACAATGATGAAAAAGTAACTTTGTAATTAGTCCTTGCATTTATGATCTTTGCAGGTCTGTTTACAAAGGAATGCTGAAGTAAGATCATAAAATCATGATGTTGCAACCGATGGACCACCTCGGTTAACAACAAAGTGGCTGGTCCCAATTGTGGTTGCTAAACAAGGACTACTTGTTCAGCTCTTCCTCTAGAACTGGAATTTTTGTCATTGTCAATCTGTCTTTGGGTCTTTCCAGTTACAGCACAAAACACACTAAAGACATAAAGTGAGGCTGTTGATCAGCACTGTCTAATTTTCTAATTTAACCACAGGGATGTGATCAGGCTGATGAAGGCCTTTGTCTGCAGTTGTCATTCCTGAGGCTTTTTTCCAAATGAAATTTATATCATCTGAATGAATTCCAACTCTCATTCCATCACCAACTCCAGGGAATAGATTATCTACTTTCCTCTCAAGTCCACATATTAATATGAGGAGTTGGTTTTAGTAGAAGCTATCCACATTTCTGTGGGTATTTTTAACCCTTCTAAAATAACAATGGAATCTTCAATCTTTCACATGATTTCACTAAAAATGTTTTCAGTGACAGAAATTTACATGATCCTCTGAGCTATGCCAATCACAACAGAAGATATGTAAAAAATAATATCACATAGGGTTAGGGAAAATATATTTATTTATGATTTAAACCTATGAGATCATTACTATGCTTCTTTTGGGCACATAGCTGTGTATATCACAAACTACATTTTCATATTAATGGAGTCATTCCTTCCATAATATGAATGACCAGGAACACTTTAGTTCAAATGTGCTTGGGAAAAGCCATTGCAATTATATTTCAAAATTTGGGGACGTACAAATGTTTGCTTGTTCTTCTTCCTGCAAATATTATACTACTCCTGTGGAAGAAGACCTATAAGTCTTTATGGGTGGAGATTTTCTTTCATTCCAGTTAAGAAACTAAACTGATTTTTCTTCCCCCTCCACGTTTTTTCCCTTTGCATTTAATCATCTTACCTGATGAAGGACTATTGGAAATTCAAAACTTCCAGCTCTTTTTTAAACTTTCCACTGGCCTCATGAAGGTATTAACTTTATGAACCTGGTTTGTAATGATGTGGCCTTTATGATCTTGGCTTTTTCTGTCAGTTGTGCTGTTCCATAATTTGAAATATGCAGGAGCACAGCATACCAGAGCTGATAGCCAGGAAAACAATAGGCATAAAATCAAAGGTTTTCTGGAGACAGAGTTTTGTTAGGCAAGTAACTTAAATAGTAATGTAATGGGAATTATCTGAGTCAGGAGAAGGAGGGAAATTACTGTTTGGTATTGACATGAGAAGAAAGGAATTGCCATGAGAATTGGAAAGCTGTGTTGGGGAGAAAGTTAGTGAGAATTCTCCTTTCATCCTTCATATTTGTCCAAACCAGGGCATGGATGCATCGATATTTAAGAGACATTTTTCAGCTCCAGTAAGACTTTACCAGATCTAGCCTTCTGGGACTGGATTTGTAGAACAGAGCAAAGCTACAGTTCCAAGTCAGGCTGTGTTTGATTATTATAGCAAGGCCATGGAGTTAAGGTTTCTTTTAGAATAAAGGATTCAGAAATTCCATAGCCATGTATGGAGTCTATAAACAGTATTTTGATCATTTCAGGATTCCAGTAGGAAATCTTAAAGTGCATTTCATCCTAGCTTGATTCTTTCCAGACTAGCTGGACTTGTCCAAAGAAAATGTGGCCTTTTCAAAAGAGTGGCGGAAGAGTGCTTTTCACAGGAAAACAATGGAATTAAATGCTGAAGAGCGTAGCATATCTTTAATTGAATTATTCCTGGCACTTATGTGCATCAAATCTTAAGATTCCTCTAGGCAGAACATCAGAAGGGCAAAAAAATGTTGATCATTGCATTTCTATTATTTCAGTGCGATACAGAATAAAGTGCAGTGTCACCTTTCAACGGTGTAATGTGATCAAGTATTTTAAAAACTGACTTTTTTGCAGAGATGGCCCAGGTGCTTTGGTATGGCTTATAAAAAGAAGCAAATTAATAACTGCATAATAGTAATTTTAGACGCTCATGAAAAACATAAAAATACACCAAAGAAACATGACATTTTATTCATAGATTTAACTGTTGGTTAAAAAAAAAAATCATTAATATAGAGGCAGCCATGGGAAGGCATTCTTTTTTGCAATATTTGTCTGAACTGAATTCTCAAAGGGGCTGATTTTTTTTTTAAATGGCAACAATGAGCATGTTTGGAAATGGTTTAACACAATTTTATATTACTGTGTTTTCATGGAAATGGCCTCCAAAGTTTTTGTCCCATCCCCCTTTTTCCTTTTAAAGAATGTGTTAACTCCATGTATTTTAAGTTTATCTAAAAGAGGATTCATATACAAATTATTTTTGACAGGAAATGGTCTGCTACATTGCTTAGAGATGGATTGCACCAAGAATTGTACACTTGTGAAATGTGAAAGAATGGCATTTGGCAGGGCTGGGGTTGAGTCGTGTCAGACATGGATGAAAGAATGTAGTTTATAACTGGTTCTCAAGCCTGGGTTGGAACGTTTAAACATACAATTTAATTTGGATTTTGTGGCTAGAGTTAAGGTAAGTAGGCACATAGCTGTCATATTTTTAAAAATATACTTAGTGAATTTTAATTGTCTGTGTTTTTGTATATGGATTTTAATCCAGACACATACTTGATAAACCTGTGTTGCTTGTATGAAAACTGCCCTGCTTTTATGTTGCAGCGGACGAGTTTCACGTTTCAGCTTATTTCGTCAAAAGATGGGCTAATCTGCGATGTATTGGACAACAGTACAGTGGTAAGCTAGCTATGCCTTCCTTCCTATTTTGGAGAAGCAAGATGAAAGCTACAGTTTGTGTACACTTGAACCAATGGGATTCTTCAACAAACTATATGTGATGCAGAAAGATTTCTTTTCCTCTCTTTCCCCTGCTTGAATCTATAACTGCTGACGATTTCCTGGATGGCATAGCTAGATGGAACTGGATGTGAGAGTGTTTACATGTTTTGTCTCTTACAAACAAGTTGAAAGGTACTTACACTGCCAGTTTTTCCTGGCAGCAGAGTTGAAAGGAAGCATCTTCTAGCTTTTGCTACCAGTTTTTCGACTTACAGCCACCAGGAAGGTACATCCTCTAACCTATGACAAACGGGGAGACCAGCCTGATCCATCCATAGTTCAGGAACAGGACAACCAAGAGAGTTGTTTCTCTTTGTATCAGAAAGAACAATGAGGTTCACCTCAGTTCTCCTAACTGGCCACAGACTTCCAGGTTGAAACACTTCATCTCTCAAGCAGGCACGTTAGATCATGTCAGCTGACTTGACAATCATTTATTCTAATCACAGATATAGTACTCCAAATAAATATTTCATGTTGTATGGATGTGTATGCTGGTTGGTGGATGGGCTTTTCGGTGGACAGCAGTAAGTATGTCGCCCATATGTTTATGTTCTGTATCAGAGGTGATAGATTCTGGTTGCTGGATAGATTCTTTGCAGCTCTTTGATGTGTACTGAGGACCTGATCCCAAGAGATGGTCTACACTCGAAGAAAAATATTTGCTTCCATTTTCTGAATAAGCAAAATGTTTGATTGGGAAGTTTGATTACTTTCTTGATTGGGGCAAATGTTTGTGTTGTGATTTTGCTGCGGCTGTTTTGTTGCATGCTATTTACTAACTAATTAGTTTTTGAAAGAGTAATTAGCCAGGGCAACAATTGCTAGACTCAGCATTTTATTGAGTCTCTGAATTCTGAATCAGTAGAGGTTGCCCTGTGAATCAGGCATATTGTCACAGGGTGGTACAAATATCTGCCAGAGCCAGCTTTTGTTCATCCTGCTTTTAAGTGATGTCATTGAACATGATCTTTTTTCATGTTTTTGCAACCCGAGGAACTCTAGAAGAGTATGACATCAAATCTTAAGCTGCCAAAAATAACAAAACACTTGGAGCAGTTAATCATTTGGCTGAAAACTTGCTTGAATCCCATTAAATATTGTAATGTTACAATATTTGCAAACATTTGTTAAGTATATTGGGCATGTAAATTTCTACTTTGATAGTACCTTAAATCAGGCCTATTCTGCACCATTGCCTTTAATCTTATTGTTTAGGGATGAGAATATCTTGGGAATCATATACTCCATATTTTTGTTTCATTTGAGTTGCCATTCTATGCATCCTGCCATCATCTGCCTTAACTGTTCCCTTTAGGGCCTACCCTTAAGCAAATAGTGGAGACCATTTTTATGTATGTGGCTTTTCTTTAAAGTGGATTTAAATTCTTCTGCTGTTTTAAATCTTGCTGTAATCTGTGGTGGTTTTACAGTGAGATTTTATCATGTGTTGTTTTTATAATAATTTTATTAAAGTTTACAGTTACAAAGTTAAAAAAACTAGTACAAACTTAAAAAGTATAAAAGAGTGAAAAGATAGAAAGTGCAGAAAAAAATAGAAAAGAAAGAAAAAAATAAGAATGTAGTAAAGAAAAAGAAAAGAAATATATAAAGAAATTACTTCCCCCTTCATCACAACAAGTACAAACAATTTCAGTAACTTACCACCTTCTCTGAAAATACAACAAAATATCTCTTCTTCCCATATTTCATCTCTTATCTGTAAACAAATTCTTAAAGCCTCGCCATTTGGTCCTGGTCAGCAAAAGTCCATTAAGGGTTACCAGAAATAACAACATACAGTGGTACCTCGGGTTAGGAACGCCTCTGTTAACAAACTTTTCGGGTTACGACCAACTCCGGCCGCAAAAATTTACCTCGGTTTGCGAACTCCGCCTCAGGATACGAACAGGATACGCAGCCATTTTCCCTCCTGTGACACATGGTCCGCGGCCATTTTCCGCCCCTGACACGTGGTCCGCGGCCATTTTTCCGCCCCTGACATGTGGTCCGTGGCCATTTTTCCGCCCCTGACGCGTGGTCGTAGGGAGGGGGACTCTCCCTCCAAGCAATAGCAATAATTACCGTGGCGTTGCCCTTGTCAGCTGGCAGGATGATGATGTTGGGGTCCGAATGAAAGAGAGAAATGCCATAGAAACCC